TAGGCTTTACGGTATCCAGGAAAACGTTGGTCGTAACTATAACCCTTTCCTATTACAGCTTGAAGGAGAGCTAGAAAAAGAGCTGATTGAAACACTAAAGCAAGAAGAAGTATTATGGCTTCAAAAGTCGAGAGAGAGATGGATTGATTGGGGGGGATAGAAACACAAAGTACTATCAAACCAAGACTTTGATTAGAAGAAGAAGAAACATAAATATTATGCTAAAAAATGATCAGGGAGTTTGGGTCAAAAATGAAGAGGAAATTGCAAAGTTGTTCCATTGTTCCTTTCAAAGTTTGTTTAAAGAGGAAGTGAGGGATAGGAAGTGGATATCTACAAATTATTACTAGGGAAATATTAAACAGAGTGCTATAAGCTGTATTAGTAATAAGAGTGAGGATAAGGAAGTCCAGAGAGTTTTCTTTCAGATGGAAAGTTTTAAGGCACTAGGGGAGGATGGGTTTCTAGCTTATTTCTATCAACAAAACTTGAGTATTGTTGGCAATTTAGTGAGTAGATTTCTGAAAGATTTATAGAATTTTCCTGAGAAAATCAAGGAAATTAATAAAAATTTGTTGGTGCTAATCCTGAAAATCGAAAAACCAGAATTTGTAAGTCAATTTAGACCCTTATATGTAATGTCTTGTATAAAGGCCTGACAAAACTTATTGTAAATAGATTAAAGCCTGTGATGGATAAGCTAGTTTCTCCCTTTCAAGCTAGTTTTGTCTCTAGAAGGAATATTCATGAAAATATTGTTATTGCTAAAGAACTTGTTCACTCGATGAATAGAATGAATGGTAGGAAAGGTTATATGGCTGTGAATATTGATTTAGAAAAGGCCTATGATAGAATGTCATGGGACTTTATAGAGAAAGTTTTTATTGAAATTGAACTTAAGAGGAATGTGGTGAATGTGATTATGTGGTGCATTTCATCTTCTTCCATGGCTATCATGTGGAATAGAGAGGAAAAAGAGTCTTTTTATCCTACCAGGGCTTGAGATAAGGAGATCCTCTTTCACCCTATCTCTTTGTTTTAGGCATGGAAAAATTGACTCATATGATTCTGGATGATGTTGAAAATGGCTGTTAGAGCCCTTTAAGGGTGGGAAGAAGAGGAATTGCTCTATCCCTATCTTCTTTTTGCTGATGATTTACTTCTATTCTGTGAGGCAAATGTTGAACTTGTAATTTGCTAAAAGTAATGGAAGAGTTTGGGATGATGTCTAGCCAAAAACTAAATGTTTAGAAAACTAGTTTGTTTTTCTCCAAGAATACTGATAGGAGAACTCAAAGTGAAATTTGTAGCTTGATTGGTTCCAAGGCTGTGGAGGACCTTGGGAGGTATTTATGAGCTTATATTACAAAAGGTAGAACCACAAAGCAAAAGTTTCAGTTTTTAATTGACAAAATGCAAAAGAAGTTGAGTGGGTGGAAGAAACAAACTCTATCCCTAGCTGGCAGATTGACCCTTGTACAATCTATAACTAATCAAATGGCAAATTACCAAATACAACATTGCCATATTCCAATAGGAGTAAGGCAACACATGGAAAAAATTCAAAGAGATTTCATTTAGAATGGTGATGAAAATAAGAGAAAGATGTATGTTGTGAGTTGGGATCTTCTTTGTACTTCTAAGGAGAAGGGTGGTTTTGGTTTGAAGGATATAGTGTGATGAATGATGCTCTATTGGGAAGAATTGGATGGACTGTGATTGCCAAACCAGTTAGTTTATGCTCTATTCTTTTAAAGGCAAAATATGGAAGAAATGTTGATATAAAGAGGAATGTATTTCCAAGCTAATAGATCCTAAACTATGGAAAAACCTGACTAGAACATGGCCTCTCATCTCAAGTGGAATAGTGTGGGAGGTAGATAATGGGGAGAGTGTGGATTTCTAGAAGGATTTCTGGGTAGGGGAGAACATGAAACTGATGGATTTCTACACGAGGGTTTCAAATGAAAATAATCTGAAGCATAAGGTTCGTGAGATGATTGATGAATGTGGAAATTGGGATTTTCAAAAGTTGAAAAGTTTGGTAAATGAGGATGGTTTAAGAAAAATTATGTCGATGCAACCACTACAATCTAGTTTTGGAGAAGATAAAATAAAATGGGGAATGGTTTTGCAAAATAGGTATGTGGTCTTTGATATGTATAAAAAGATGAAAAATGAAGAGGGGCATTCAGATTCAGTTTGGAGTAAAATATAGGGTTGGAAGGGCCCTAGGAGGGTGCAAGTCTTCTTGTGGATTGCCACTCATAATAGACCACTACCAGCTGAAAGGAAAAGTATGATTCTAGGAGGGAATGCTATGTGCAACAAGTGTAGAAATGGTGAAGAGAGCCTCATGCATGTTCTATGAGACTGTGATGCTGCTAGAAAAATTTGGGAACGGCCGGGTTATGTCAATAACAAGTCAGATCTCTTCTTATTGCAGAATATTGACTAGTTTAGGTGGAATTTAAGCCGGCAAGACACAAAAAAAAAAATTGAGTTTGGAATAACATGCTGGCTTTTATGGAATTGGAGAAATAAGTTCTTATTTGAAGATGATTTTAGAGAACCAGAACAACCAAAAGTAGTGATTAAGCACTATGTCAATGAAGTGTTGTATCTTGATAGGAGGAATGGGGGTGGAAGAGTATTGGAAGAAAGAGGTGAATATAAGGTGGATAGTGCCAAATGTTGGGTGGGTTAAGCTCAATACATATGGTGCCGCTAGAGGACAAAATGGATTGATAGCATGTGGAGGTCTCATGAGAGATCGCCAAGGAAAATGAGTAAAAGGTTTCTCGAGGAAGTTGGGCTCTTGCTCGGCTATGATTGCAGAAATCTAGAGTGTCATCTCTAGATTAAAATTAGCTGCTGATGAAGGTATATATTTGCCTAATTGTAGAGTACAATTCAAAGGCTCTTGTAGATATTTTACAGAGTTTATACGTTACATGATAATGACTATATTGAATCTAGTATTCCAAAAGTTGTAAAGATTGAAAGGAACAGATTTATTCAGATTCGGTTTAGACATGTGTATAGGGAGGGGAATACCTGTACTAACTATCTTGCTAGTTTGAGTTTTGAGTTAGAGGCGGTTTTTACTGTTCTTAACATGCCTCCTAGGAAAGTTAAAATTTTGTTGTATAGAGATTTAGTGGGGTTTGCCTGCCATTGACGTGCTTTATTTTTGGGCTTTTATTCTTAAAGAATGTATGCTACTTTAGCCCAAGTAATCTTACATGTCCCCAACTAAGATAACTCTTCATTTGAAATGTGGCCCATTAATCTGTTAACATAATGGGTCTTTTGAATTTCGAACGATCTGTATATAATGTTCTTTTCTCTTCGGCTCTGCTTATATAAATGTTGTGCCAGTGTGTTAAAATATTTTTAAAATAAAGATATGTGTTTCTAAAAACTTATATATAAATTTATAATTTAATAAATTCATATGAAGAATTATATTATTAATATATTTATATGAGGGATTGTGTTTCCTATAAATTAATATATATATATTTATATAAATGGTTATATAAGAAGTCACAACACCAAGAGACATCAAGACTGATTTCTAAAAGCATATATAAAAGGTGTAGTAACCACCACTTGCTGAAAAGTTGTATTATTTTCTTAAAGCAACCCTATATTAAAAGTGTAACTTTTGATAGAAAAAATATTAAATATCATTAGTTATTAAAATGATGTTGGTTCATGAATTAAATATGATTGTGACTTTTAAAAAGATATTGCTTCAAAAGGCATCTTTTCATGACATCATTTCATTGTCTATATAAACTCTTCACTATTACTTCATTTGCGCATAACACCAATACAAACATATGAAAATCAAACTCATTGTCTTTATCTCTAAGTGCACATAAAGATACAGACAAATAATGTTATCATCAAAAAAATTATCACTTGATAAAAACTATTATTCTTGGGTTGAATTTTGAGAGTGCAATTTAGATTCAAGAGTCTTTATTGTATTTTGAAGAAAATTTATCGTCAACCTAATTTACAGCCTATAAGATAAAATAGTTGAGGTCGAATTAAACATAAATAACAGTGCTACCTATGCTTTGAAGGTATTGTACAATACTTTCTTTTTCATTTTGTTTTTTTGTGTATTTTTGAGAAAATCATTCCCACCAACAGTGTGTGCGTATAAGGTATATATGATGTTATGTTATGAATTTCTTTCTAACTTGTCTTTTTTGGCCAATAACTTCTTTCTAACGGAAAAAAACAACTGATGCTGTTCAGCCATAATTGGCACATGGAATTGCCTTTTATTTTTACACAAATGACCTTAACCGCAAATGCAAACCTTGATAATAATGATACAGAAAACTAATGCTTTTTAAAATAATTAAACTGAGGGGGGAAGATACTTTAATAAATTACAAATTATAATGCATTTTTATTTTAAAGCAGGTCAATGAATGAAAAGAAAGTTGTGGCCCTAAGAAATCACAAGAATTGTAAAAGTGGCAAAAAGAATGAAATCTTACATGCTAATAATATGTAGAAATTTGGAACGAGTGATACCATCTCCTGTCTTTTAGATGAGTAATTGACAATTTTAAATATAAACCATAATAAGTTAAGGCCAACCTGCTTCAAGAAAAGGCTAGTATTTCCTCCGAATGACCCAGGATATTTTTAATTTATGATTAAAAGTTTATTTATCGTAATAGACTTGTTAACCCTCCCAACTTCCGGCAAATATTTGAAAGCATCATAATTTTTTTCCCAAAACTATTAATATTTTAAAAAATTGTCTAGAATAAAAAATTCGCCACAGAAAAAACTTAAAATTTAATATTTTTACATACTAAAAAATTATTAAATAATCAAAATACTTTCTTTTTTTTTTGGGTGAGTAGGCCAATTGAATGGAATTATCCAAAAAGACGGCGGGTCGTTTAAAGCAGAGACCGTGTGTTCGTTTTGGAGTCTGAACTGAAGCGCTTTACCCAAGAAGATTGTGGACTGAAAAACAACCCCATTTCCAGCATTCCCTGGATGGATCTTGGAATATGTCGAATCTTGTAGCGATTCGTGATGCCGGAGTATTCGTCGACGGTAATGATAGCTTAAACTCTCCGGCAAAGCAGAAAGCTGCCAACAGAGGTGCCTATGGGAATTGCTCAACGATTTCCCTTCGCCGAGCTATACACATTCTTGGTGCCGCCAAAACGAAGCTCTTTTTGGGCTTCTGCGCTCTCTCTGTGGTCGTCTTTGTAACTTCTAGGCTTAGTTCTTGGATGGGTTGGAACCCTCATGACCCTTCATCAGTTTCTTCTCCGTCAAGGTAAAATTTGTCCTATGCAGAGTTCTCTTTTCCTGTTTTGTTAGTTTTTTCTTTCGCTGTCTTATGTAATTTGGTTTTCGTCGCTGGATCGGTTGATGACGCTACTGACTATCTTCGATTTGTTTTTCTTTGGATTTACCTCAGTCACAGTAGAGTTGTGCCAATATGTGTGGGCGCTCGCAATTTCACTTTGACGAGTTCTGGTTAATTTGTTGCTTCCACTATGCTATAAAGTGTATTTTGATGCACCATGGATCCTCCACTGTTCTCTTCCTGTTCTTTATGGATTCCCTTATCCTTGAAAGCTTGTACTGGAGATCGACACCCAGGGCTCCATGCCTACGCAATATGCAATGCATGAATGCTACTTAACTCGTAATTTATTCAATTTATACTACATAATGGCATGAGTGTCTCCAAGAAGAAAACACGGATATGCCCATGAGTTCTGTAGATTTTCTGTGCATGTTCTGGTAGTTATCAAAACTCAAAAGAGTACTTTTCCTATGTTGGGGGGAAAAAACCAGTTTTTCTAAATGCATGAATTTACTGATTTATATTCATAGACGTGGAATTGTGGATATTTAGAAACCTAAGCATGGATACTGAACTGACACATTACAAGGACATGGACCCGATGACTCTACAAACACTGAAATTTTCTTGCAACCTTGTGATGGTGGATTTGGGTAAGTCAATCATTTTGGCTGATATTTTGCTGAGAGCTGTTGTTATTTTTACCAGAAGATAGAGTATTAGAGATTAGAGTTTAGACTAGAGTAAGAGATTTGAGGTCTGGTTAGAAGAATCTTGTATAAAAAAATAACCTTCATGTTGGTGTACCAATTGCAAGGCGATGTTGGAAAACAATGGATTTTATCTCTCAGCTTGGTTGTGCCTCACGTTAACAATGTGGCTCTTCCTTCTGTTGAACACATGATTGAAAACTTATATTTTCAGTTGCAGTGCCTGAATAAGGTCTATGAATTGGTATTGATGCATTTTGTGTTATGTGTAATTCAGGGGTGGATATACTGTCCTTATGAACACTTGGAAGCAAAATTCTTTTCTCAAGGAAGCTGTTGCTCACTATGCATCTTGTCTTGGAACTGATGCAATAAATGTAGTGTGGAGTGAAAGCCAACCACCATCTGAACATTTGAAAACCCATCTTAAGAAAATCGTGGTTTCAAAGTCACGGAGACCTGATGTGCCAAACTTTAGATTTGACGTAAATGGAGATGATAATTTTAGCAGGTTCATGCCTATAGATGGTCTCCAAACGGATGCAATTTTCTCTGTTGATGATGATGTAATCGTTCCGTGTTCAACACTAGATTTTGCTTTTGCTGTATGGCAAAGTGCTCCATTCACAATGGTTGGGTTTGTTCCTCGAATGCACTGGCTGGATAAGGAGGTTAGTAACTAACATATAGCTATTTTGTATTACTAAAATTTTTCCAGAAACCGTTTCTTTAACCTTCAATTTTTTTTTTTCTGAAAAAAAAAAAGGTTTCTGACAGAAGGAATAAATAAATGCTTGTTAGATAATAATTGTCAGAAACCAATAGCATATGACAATATGAACAACATGGTGGTTGATGGGGTTATGTGATCATGATGCTTGCATGTGAGATACTAACAGCTGAAGTTTTAGCGTTATATGATAAGCCCTCTAATTAAAACCGGACATTAATGAGGGCATCAATATTTGTTTGGAGTTCTATAAGAAATGGGTAGTTCTGAGAGCAGACAAAATAAGGTGCACTTCATTTCTTTGATAGGGGTTATATGATCATTGTTTGAAGTTGTATTGATCATAAGATGCATAGTCTCAGGGGCTGACCTGAGAGGTTGATGGATGGGAGCGGAAAGATGTGAGAGCGGAATTGCTATCCTATTTTACTTTTTGACGTATCTGGCAGGACAATGATTCATGGACATATGTCAAGATGTTCCTGTCTCTTTTGGGTTGTTCTTTAAATAACGAGTAAAATTATACTGAAGTATGATTTCTTAAATACTGTGGTTATGGTGGTTGTCAACAACGGAGAAAATGCATGCTAAGTAAAAAAGGGATAAACAATGTTTCTTAGAGATAGCGGCAAGATATGTGTTGTTTCCAAGGATTAACTTTAAGTTCATAAAGAAACTTCTGGTGTATTGCTGTATTTTAATTAATTAATTACTTAGGAAAAAGAAAAGAAAATTGAATGAGTTCATCAAGTTCACTGCAATTATTCACATGATAACCTAGTTAAGCTATGCTTTACACTTCTAAAATAAAATTTAGCCTGCATATTGTATCTGATCAATTTCACTTTGTATAATACAGCAAAATAATGTTGCATATTACAGATATGGAGGGTGGTGGTCGGTTTGGAGGATGGGCGCTTATAGCATGGTTCTCTCGAAAGCTGCATTCATTCACAGGAAATACTTGGATTTATATGATCACATGATGCCACTTCCAATTCGAGACTATATTTCTCGGCATAGGTAAGATATATGAATAATTACCTCTTCTAAAAGGCATTGCTTCTTATTATTCTCTATCTCTTTGCGATCTTGGTTTCTAACTTTTTTGTCTCTGTCAGCAGAAACTGTGAAGACATTGGAATGTCCTTTCTTGTTGCTAATGCTACGGGTGCTCCTCCAATTTGGGTTAAAGGTAACTTCCTTTCTTTTTGGCATAATGTTGTGGTGTCCTGAACAACGATTCTTTTCTAGCCAGTTTCTATTTTCACTCTCTGATGTTTAATTATAACTTCACTTTATAAGAAGATTTGTAGAACTACCTAAAAATCATGTCAACATCAGCAGTTTGTTCAAGGACATGAGAGATGGGATACTATACAACGGGCACGGAGTGGCCTGGCACAGCCCAGTAGGCTGAACAAACAGATTATAGACAAGTGCACTGAATTTCAGGAACATAAAGCAGTATGTTGGCAAATTCTTACCAGCCTAAGAAATGCCTAAAATGCAATTTGATGTTTTCATGACAAGCCAGGATTTTTTTTTTTTTCCCCACTTTAGCTCATATAATTTTACTTGGCCACTACTAACTGATATATGATATAAGGAAATACTTTGTTTGGCTAGTGATTGATTTTGATTTTTGTTTGAGTTTATAACTGTAGATTACTCCCTTCAATCCCTAATATACGAAATAGTTGGGAGGTTAGATTTATTTTAGGGAGATCATGTAATATTTGTTATAATTAATTATTTTATTTGACTCACTTAATCTACCCAAATTAATTAAGTGGTTCTTATATCAAGGAGTGGAAGGTGTAATATTTTATTATGATATTTATTAGGAATTGTTATGAGAATATTGCATCTCTGTGCAGATTAACCAATGCAATATTTCAATGAATTTGCAGATGTAACTATTAACTAAATTTTAGTAGCTGTTGATAATTATTTTGTTTTGGATTTTATTTGTACTACCTAGTTTTTAATATAAGAACTAGTTGGAGATTCAATTTGATTATAAATATAAGATCTATTCTACTTTGTCTCTAATATTTGATTGCACATGTTAAAAAGTCTTCATCAATGGTAATTCGATGCACATGATAGATAGAAGTATTTTTGAGAAGACATCATCCATTTATTACAAATAACTAAATTAATTTTTTAATGTTCGGAAATTAGTTATCTAACTCTTATATTAAAAATCGGATATAGTATTTTTCTTCAAGAGAAAGCAAGACACTAGTGCATAAGAAGCATGAATCAAAATTCAATATCAATATTTCAATGATCAATGAATATAATAAAATCTGTAAAAAGCCGCACTATTCATAATAAGTCATGAATAATACCATTTTGCTTAGACCCTCTGCAAAGTATGGGGCCCACAGTTTAGTTACAGGTAATAAGGATGCGTTTAATAATCCGTTGGTTGAGTAAAAACTATGCTCACGTTAACTAAACCAACAAAATACCAGATAGGCAAATACACACTAAGAACTAACCACTAACCTAGTGGTGGCGTTCCTTGCCTTGAAATATAGTTAAATATGGTATGACGACCTTGCCTTACCCTCCTCGAGTTTGAAATCTTTGTAATATGGGATTTTTTTTCTTGTGGTAATAAATGGGCAGTCATATAGTTAGACACTGTACGGCACTATATTTACACAATGCAGTATTCTTTGCCAGTTTGCTGCCACACATGAGGAGTCCCATTTTATTGATATCCTTCGCTAATAATGATTAAAATATTAAAATTTCCATGCATTAGTTCAGTCTGCCCACTTGCCGAGGTGCAGTCATTTACTGGCCATCCCCACTCCCATGAAAAAATAGATGTTACTCTTATGCTCTTGAACGCTCTGACTTCTTAACACTTTGCTGTCTTTTCCCTTTCGGGGTGGAGATTTTCATAGTTGGTGTCCATACCTCAATCGTTACTTCATCTATGACTCAGCTTCTTTCTACATTTCCTGTGTGTGTGCTTTGTTGGGTGTGTTATGCTGATGAGAAGAATGGGTAACATTTGCACAGCTCTAAGTATCTTCTTATGCAAATAATGTCAATTCAAAGCATCAACCAAAATTTGCAGGCAAAATCTATGAGAAGGGGGCATCTAGCATAAGCAATCTGAAAGGGCATAGCGACAGCAGAGACAGATGTCTGAATAACTTAATAGCACTTTACGGGACCTTGCCACTTGTGCCAACTCACTTCAAAGCTGTTAGTGCCAAGAATGAATGGTTATGGTAGTTTCGGTTTCCTCCCCCTAGTTCAGCCCCTGATTCATCCCGGTTTCCCCCATGGAGAAAAGCGGACAGACCAGGCTCACCGATGGAGGTTTCCGGGCATATCATTGCATGCATTAATGTATAATTGTATAATTGTATACGATAGGCATGATCGTTAGTTGTGTTGGTCCTATCTTGATGTCCTTCATAGGGTTTCATGATATGAATTTTTACTCGGATATCTATGATCTATGGGGTACATTATTAGCTATATCTATTCGAGGCCTGTCTTCGACTTGGGTCGAATACTAACTTACACCCCTAATGTAAAACATGGGGTTGTGATTTGAGTCGGTTGTGGAACAACAAAGCCTACTATGCTTAAAACGTATAATTGGAATGTTTCATTTGCAATGTATATAATGCTTTTGGAAAAAATATAAAGAAAAGATACTGCAAGTGAATTTTTATGCTGATCAACAATTTTTTATGTCAGTATGTCGCTGTTTATTTGTATCTATGCATGTAAAGAAATTTTAGTTTATTATAGAACCCAATCCTAACAAAATCATCCTTCCAGAATCTGAAAAGTATAAAATAGTGCTTTAATTGATATACTTCATTTGCATTTTTCAAGGCCCATTGGGTTTTTATGTTTTTGTACAAGCTTTATCTTCCCTTGTTGATGCAAAAAAAAAGGCCCATTCCGTCGTTCTTTGTGGAAGAGGCTTCCTATGGGGTTCTTCGAAAATGAGGCTGATCTTTTGGAGAAGTTATATTTTGTACCCATTTTACCCTTGGTAAAATAATAAAATTTCAACTTTACCCCTACCATTGCCCTGAGCCCCACTCGTTTGTCGATGTGCTGGGAACCGAAGGATATGGGCGACGTCCGGTCAAAAAAAAAAAAAAGGATATGGGCGACGGAGCAGCTGTCAACGACGGCTGAAGGAGGTTTCGACGCTGACGTAACCCATTGAAAGATGGCGTCATTTGAAGGTTTTTTCCACTTCTCTGTGACTTTGCTCTTCTGCCTCCTCCATTATTGTCTCCGTAATCTTTGAAGTCGCAAGTCCTTCTTCCATCTTCACCTTTTTAAATATCTCTGCTTTGAGAATCTATTCTTCGGATCCTTCTTTATTGTTTCTCTTTGTTGGAATGGTTAGTATGGAAAAGACATCTTTTTTATAGCATAACGCTAATTGAATAAAAATAGGAAGTTGGAGAACGTTGAAGGGGAAGTTGCAATACATTATTTGGTCTTCTCTTTCCTTCTTAAAATCATAGTCACTTTGTACCAAGTTCCTACCGAAGCGAAATGATTTGTTTTAGGGTGCTTGCAAAATCCAATATTGTAATAGTTCTTTTTTCTTTTTTCCATTAATATTGGTCGCATAAGAAGCATCCCATGAAGTAGTTGCTACTATAACCAATCGTTAAAACCTGAGTTGGATGCCTCTTCCTAATCTTACAGCATGGTTTATTGAGCCCGATAATTTATATAAATTAGGTATTCACATTTGAAAGGAACACCCAATCTTATTTGGTTTTATACTGAGACATGGATTAATTCAATTGTGCATTTAAATTTTTGGCATGCGATGTTAGATCCTGTATATGTAGTTTTGGTGATAGGAAGTAAAGTTTGGGGAAAACTCCAAAAACTTTTCTTGGCTGTGTTTTTGTGGTTTATGAAATAGTCTGAATATTGTTGGCATTTTCTTGCTGCATATATGAACTTTCTGATAGTAACATGTTAAATTTTTGGCTGACTGTGTTTTTGCTGTGAAGTGCAGTGTGTGGTTTTTGCTTATAAACTACCACATATCTTCTATTTTGTCACAAGTCTCTCATTTTCCTGATTATATATCTAACGCAGACAAAATAATCATTGCATATGTGCAGATAGGAAAGCTACCTTTTTGGCCGGGATGCTAGATGCTATTTGTTCTGGTTATATGCTTTGAATAAGATAACCTTTTCCTGCTTTTCTTTATTGCGATGTGTTTGATAATGTCCAAAATGAACTTATATTGACCTGATTGGCCGAATACTTAAAGATTAAATTTCAGGATCAAGTTGATGATTGAGCAACCAAGCACAGTTGTAAAATAGATTGCAATGTATTTTATGTCTTTACTCTTGAAAGCTGGATGTGGTTTAGTGACTGCAACCATGATGAAGGCTGAGTTACATAGGTTATGTTTGATCAGTTTAACTGTTTAAAAATACACTTCTGGTTTCTTTTTTCTTTGACTATTCCTTTTTCTTTATTTATCCCCTCACATATATAGCTTTTATTTAATATGTTAAATATATTTCTTGGTTGAAGGATTCCCTATAATTTTAGCTTGTTATGTGGAAGCTACTCTGTTTGATTGAAAAAGCTGTAGGATGGGGTTCTTTTCCATTTTGTCTCTGATTTTGGATGTGGGCCCTCTTATTTATGTGGAAACTTAAACAACATAGTCCTTGATTGGGTTCTTGTGCATTTTAAAATCATGTTGTATAGCATCATCACTGCAATATATAATACAAATTTGTTTTTTGGGTATTCACTTGTTATTTGCAAGTACAGCTGTAACCACATCAGTCCGCAATTATGATCCCCTGCATTTCCCCACGATTACAGCAACTACAATTTGATCCTCATTTGAATTTTTGTGTTTTGGCTATTCTAATTCGAAAAAAAAAAGTGTGAAGATATATTCAACTATTCGAATGATGTGATTAGTATGGTACTATGGTTGTGGACTGCCGTTCAAAATCTATAGGAGTAACCTGGTCTGATAGCTTAAAGCTTATTGTCTATTTGCTAATATACTTTGTGTTTTTCATCCCTGGAATATTGCCTGGCAGAGAAGTGAATGGTAGTTTAGCCAGAAAGAAGAGAGAAAGAGTTATGGCAGGCAAAGCTGCTGGTTGAGTGGCGAAGGCTGTAGGAGGATATCAGTATCCATGGCGTGAGAAGTTAGCAAAATATAAGGATGAACTTGCCAAGGGTGTCTGGGGAGACTGGGAGCTGGGAGCATGGAAACTGCTTGGTATTAGTGCTCGGCGTAGGGCTAGGTTGCGCAAGGAAGTGCTTCTTGCTGGGGAGGATTGGCCTTATGATCCCGAAAGGAAGGAGATGAAAACCAGAAGGAAAGGACATAAGTGTGACAGGATAGCTGCAGAAAAAAGAGAGAATACTGCAAGATTGATGGAGAAGATGCCAGACATGTTGCTGGATTACAAGAAGCGCAGATGGGAGAAGAAAATGAAGGAAGAAGACAAAGGCAAATAGATTTTTCTTTTTCGGTGCAATATGACTCTGCTCAGTTGTTCCTGATCTTTGCTTACAAATAATTTGCTGATTTGCTTCATAGATGGATGTAATCGTGTTATATTGTCATGTTTAATTTTTCTATGGACCAAATTAGAATAACCTTTTGGAAGACTGACCTTGTAGCTAATTTTTTTTCCTTGTTCATTAGTGATTAGCCGAAAAAGTAGTTTGGAATAAGTGCCTCATCAATTTGTCTTCGACTTAGGCTCCTCTTTAGTCTATGTAGTTCTGCTATTAACCGAGCATAAATATAAAAAATATCACAGGTTTTTATCATTTTTAAGCTTCACAATCAATTAATACTATCTTTAATTCTTAATATAAGAGTTAGTTGACTAATTTAAGTAGATTAAGAAAGTTTGTTAAGTTAGTTATTTATAATAAATAAATATTATTTTTTCTAAAATGTCTTTGTTAATCATATGTATAGATTAAAACCATCATTTAATAAAACTCTTAATATGTTCAACTACAACAAAAGGTACTTTAAAAAAATTAATAAATATAAGAGATAAAGTAAATTGAGATTTTACATTTAGGACTAAATTGAATATCAAATTAGCTTTTATATTAAGAATCAAAGGTGGTATTTTTAAAAGTGTCATGTGACATAAATACAGACAATTTATTTTATTTGTCTTTTACATGATACGCAAAGCAATATAAATGATAAAAGAGAATTTGATTAGTGTTGTGGGTAATGTTTTAATTTAATATTATTGAGAAGATCTCTATAGTCTGATGGCTGCTTTTTCATCATGTCATTCAACTAAAGATTTAGGAGGTGTTTGAGTAAAAACAAAACTATAGTTTCAGAAGTGTTTTTACGGTATACAAAGTAAATATGTGAAAAAATTTATCTAAATTTACAAAAAAATACTTGTGAAAAACACTTTTAAGGTTAGCCAAACACTTTTTTAGAAAACGATGTAATTCTATTTCTTGCAGTACATCGATAGAAATGAAGTTAAATAAGAGTGGAGGCCTACAAAATTTCAATTTTCAACCTATCAAACAAGGCTTAGAAGAACAAAGTGATTAGATTGGCAATCTAGAAGGCACACATATTTGAACTTCCTTTTAGTAAATAGTTTAAATTAAGGAAAAATTAATCAAAGTCCAAACTTCTTTTGAAATATAAACGCTTCAGTTTATTCGCCTTTAACTTAGGCTCCTCTTATTAATTAATATTTGATCTATAAATTTTGTTATTGACCAAACATGCGCGTGTATTCCTGTTATAACATTCTTCTAACCATTTTATCAGAATTAATAAGAAGTGGTTATATCATTAAATTGGTTTTAAAAACTTGGATTAATATAATTATTGGTCTCTGCAATTAAATATTGGTTTTGGTCATGCAATTTGAAATAATAATTTTTAAATCCGATAATTTCATGACTTAGTTTAAGTTAATGCGTATAATTCTAATTTTAATCCCTATACTTATCAGCGTTAACTAAAGCTAAAGCCATTAAATTCAGATCAAATTCTTAGAAAATTATAAGAACTAAAAACCATAATTTGAAACTATTGTAATTAAAATCAAAATTCAATCAAACCATAACTACCAATGATGATAGTATTAACTCTAAAAAAATAAATTTACCGTTATTCCAAATTATGAATCACATCTTGAGAAGTCAAAAAAGAAAACCGTTTCAAATCTTAAACAGACAACTTAAAAAATAATGTAATCAACATCACATTTGATAACTTATAATAAGAATTACTTGTTTGTTTTAAAAGATAGAGTACTTTTATAATGAGAAGATATTTTTTGGATTGTTTAACATGATATTCAAACGTAGGTTTTGAATGATAATTTGATAGAGAGTACGTTGTTTGTCTTGTTTTCCTTACAAAGAAGCGACCACGTGAAGTAGGCACCAAAGACTAGCAAACAACCAGCCCAGGCA